CCCAGCCAAGCGTTGCGCGGCTGGTCACTCACCTCCGTGAATCGTCAGGTGGTTCTTTCTAATTGGCTGCGAATTAAGTTAAATCGTTTATGCACGTTGGGCACGTTTTTGGGAACACAAAAGGGGACGCCACAAGCGCCAGGCGTATTGTTTTTTTTTACATTGGTCTATCTTAAGGCAAAGTCATGGATTATCCTGGCGAATCACAAAAGCCGTTAAACCAAAGACCAGCCAACACTAATTGATTTGAGCTTATAGATTACTAGCACTACTATTAACGAACCTAGTACCGTAATACACGAAGTCTTTGCAACCGCGTAAAAAGGTCACTTCAACCATATAAGGAAATAGAAAAAGTGGTAAATACATTGAGCAATTGCAAGATATTTGTGGTTGCAGAGAAATCGCTCAATACGGTAATATGTGACTGTTGTAGAGTGCTCGACAAGTGCCGTATATCATGGGAATCATGCTTACATCGTAATAAAGTGCATAATTTGGTGATGTGTACTAGAAAGTTGGACTGGTATTGGTTTTGTGCAATTGTTTACTATAACTAAGTTAAACCCACTTTTTGTATGCACTATATCTTCATTGTACCAATTATAACAAATAAATAAAGATAAAGACGTACTTTTTGTTAGATAAGTTAATGCCACTATATTTAGTTATTTTATTTCGAAAGAGAATTATGATTGGGAGAAATGGTCAGCTTCAATCATTTCAAGAAAATTTTCCTAGATTTTTCACAGCTGCAAATTCTCAGCGAACCCACTATTCGGCAGTCCTCTCCCAATGTAGGGGCATACTTCGTCGCTGCGGTGATGGGTGAGCTATTGTAGCTGCTATTCGCTATTCGCTACTCATCTAATCGTCGACTCATCTGCGCATCTATAGTAAGTATCTACACGCATTATACGCATTAACAAATCGCCGCATGTCAAATACTGGAGCTCGCGTTATCTGCGAAGATCAGGCAGCCATCGCCGCAGATGACATACGTGTAGGATCTACAACGGCGAGGCCGTCTTTGTTGAGCTCGGTGGCGCCGACAGAAGTAACAAACCCAAGAAGGTGGCTTTTACAAGGCACTCAAGAAGCAGGAGAAGAGGTGCTTGAAGTGTCTAAGTGGTTGTATCCACGCTTAGTTCACTGTCGGTATCGTTGTCCAGTATGCTACCGCCCCAGAACCGCCGTGGTAGGAGTGGACAAGAGCGATCCGCACAGCAAAAAACGCAGAACAAAGGTAGCCAGGCTTCGAACCTGCGTCATTAGCCCCACTATATGTCGCTTTAGTACACTGCAATGCAACGCGGCTCAGCGATCCGTCGTGGCTGCGCGAGAAGCCATCACGACGACGCACCTCCGCTCTGCTCGGCCATGGCTTTCCAAATACCAATCGTCTGACGTTAGCCCGTCCGAATTGGGGCTCTTCGGGTTGAGCTTGGTGTTCGCACCGAGCAGCACGTGGGACATGGGCTGTTAAACGAAATACCAATTCACATGGCGCCAGGTCGCTTTAAGAAAGCAGTATAGTGTAGTGCTCTTGTCTGCAAGCCTCTCTTCAGTAAACGCAAACTGGATGACCTAGATTGTCCTTTTTTACAAGCAATCTATTTAAAAGGGTTAAAAACACATGATAGATAAAGGGTTAAAAGGGCTAACCCTTCAGTTACAGTCTGCTCTAGAGGGCCAGAAAGACCTCTACCAAAATATATATGGCGATTGAATTGGCTAAAAACCTCGTTTCCACCTCCCTTGCGATGTAGCTATGATCATGCTAGAGGTCTCGACAGCCCTCTACCAGGGCATCTCATGGCCTCATGTTACGTATCAAACAGTGATATTAGCACGTTAGAGGGTCTCCCAGTCACTCACATATAAAACGGACGGACAGACGCTATGAGCGCTGAAGACGATGTGACAGGCGATTGGGAGATCGAAGACTTGGACGAGATGGGGTGCTCGCTAATGACGAAGGCGAAGTATCCGATGCAGAAGCAGCTATGAAGAGCGTTGAAGGACCGGTCCCGGAGTATAACCACCGTTTCCACGAGAGCGAAACAATTGCTGAGCAGTACATGGCTGCTCGGCAAGATCGTTGCAGTCTGCACGTGTCAGTAGCCGGCCAAGATAAAAATTCCTATGAAAAGAACGCTGAGTGCGGGGTATTATCGTTATTTCTCTACGGTACGGGGTATTCTAGTTATTTCTCTACGGGAGTGTTCAAGGAGAGACTGAGGAAGTGGACTTCGGACGTGCTAGCTGGCACCGGACAAGCATCAGTAACAGAGAGCGAGTTCAACGACTTGAAATTCCCTTGTTTATTTGTCCTATGAATGATATCGATGGTTTTTGGTCTAGTAGCCTCTTTCTAGGACAAAGTGCATTCATCGAGACAAAATACCGCAATCGATTTCAGCAAATACGTGGACGCATTGACGGTTCACCATCCCAACGACCCTCATTTGACAAACAAAACATCCACTTTGGCGATGTCGTGGCGTTATGAACCATTTTCATCAGCGATTCGCCGAGTTTGCAGTACCGATAGGAGTCAGTAGCATTGATGAAATGACAGTTTGTACCAAAGCAAGGACAAGGTCTAAGACGTCCATGCCGTCTAAGCCTGGCAAGTACGGCGTTCGGTTTTACGCGGTTGTAAGGTGAAGCTCTCTTTACGTGCACTCATTATGGGATGATTCAGCTGGAAATAGTATGCCATTCACACTAGCCGATCGCTATACGAATTTGTTTCCTACACTGCGTATCCCTCTCTACAACACGCTGCAGGTCGATGATATCTCTTTTGAGGCGGACTCAGCAACTCCAATATAAATTGCGATGGCGGGTCATCAAACACAGACTTTACGCTCTCCCTCTCCTACTGGTCATCGACTTGTCGTGTCAGACAGCTTTTACACGAGGCACACTTTTGCTCAGGCACTACTGAAATCCACCGATGGTGAAATCCATTTACTTGGTACTGTACGGATAAATCTAGTGGACAAGTGGAATAAGCCCGCTGTGATGCCTGCAATTGAGCGTGTTGAAGCTGCTGATAGTAGGAGCTGGGAGCTAGTCGCTGCTGTCGATCTGAAACCACGCTGCAAAGAAAACCGTAAAGCCCATCAAAATAGACAGCGCCGTGTGGACAAAGCAAAGCGAACTACATATGAGCCGGCAATAATTCGAGCAGAGAAAGCGGGCTACATCATCTACAAGTACTAGAAAGTTCTGTATCTCTTACACGAACGACTTAAAGGCAACACCGTCGATGCCTCCACTGCCGTCTACCTCTCCTGACGCTGTATTCTGATGTCATGGAACGTACTTGATTCAGCGCTGGACTGAAGGCCGCATACTCCACCGCCGAATCTTAATAGCCCCAACCATCGTCGCAGCATACAATATCATTAGTACTTACACCTATCTTTGATGGAGAGTCAGGCCAATGTTCATTGAGCTTCTTCGATACACAAAGCGGGATAGTACCACGAAGCTTGCCAAACTTATTGTAAAGGTAAAGGCGTCCGAGAGTTTGGCGTAGACCTGCTCAATGTTATACCATACGGTATAAGGCCGTGAAACACCTGTAGCAAATAAAGAGCCTGTAGTATTTATGAGAAACATGGAAAAGATAAAATCACTTAATTTGAAAATTGTGTCGACGAAATACCTACTTTTTCTGTGGGTGACATATTTCGTCCTTGAATTAATCCTTGTTGGGTTGTCACGTACCTAGGTAGCTTGAATTATCCTGGTAGTGCATAGGGCTTACACCAGCATACTAGCCTCAAAACCCGGATAGTAGTAGTAGCGGTATTATGCTATCGAGATTAACCAAACAGAGCTATGCTGAAGCTAATATCGAAGGTTAGGTATTTGAAAATAGTACCCAAAAGGATACTATAGTACCGTGCTAAAGATTATTACTACTACATATATTAAATACAGTACTACATGGTACAATGTAGTAGTATGACTGCTACTAACTACTATCATTTACTTTTGTAGCATCTCCTCCCTTCGGAGGCTAAGGAGCGCCGCTACGACGCGCTTTTGGACGCAGAGGAGACACGGAAAAAGACGAAGAGAGGCTTTGTGCTATTCGCCGTGTCCGTTCCTATCGCTAATGACGACAGTGTCACTGTGCGTGACGCAATGGCCGTTCAAGCTTCGATCAGTACCCCCTGTTCGGCCTTACTGTCCGAAACTACCACCTTTGTTTTGATATTGCAGATACTGCTCCCACTTATGATGTCCATATTTACAACATATGTTTCAGAGTATTATATGAAAAACGATGGGTGTATTTTCTAATGTCGGTGCAAGACTCCATTTTTAGCCTTAACATTTTACGGTACGCATTAAAACGAATAAATGTAACGCATCGATATTAACAGGGTATTAGGTAGTGGTAACATCATAAGTGGGAGCGGTATCTGTATATTCTTATGCTTTCCTCCATCATACTTCGCTACCAGCCCCATCCTCTAGTCTATTAATAAGCTTCGTACAAACTAACTACGCGTTAAGGTTTTCTAGAGAGACTACATTTACAGATTACTGCTATATGGAAGTTGCAGACTCCTGCCCCACTCTAATTAGTCGTGTTTTGAAATTAGTCATGCATTCGCGCTTTTGTCACGTCACAAATGTGGAAATTTTTTTGTTAATCTCACCAATGTGTATCAAAATGACCGGATTTGGATAGATCTCGCTGGGCTCATCATTCTAGTATGCTTTATTTAAAATTGGATCGGTAGTTTTCATAAAACGGGCAGTTAAAATCCCGAAAAATTGTGCTCTGACCTTACATGTATCACCATAATTAGTCAGGGTCAGACACTTAAGGTCTTTATTTCTTTTCATGTGAGGTATTGTGCCAAATTGCGGTGGTTCACGGCAAAAAAAAAATTGACAGCGGGTCAAAGAGGGGGGGGGCAATACCTAAGGAAAAAACTACTAGTTAGTTATATTATCATGCGCAGTCTGACTTAAACTAGAGTGGCAGGAGCCCCGCTCACAGGCGTCTCAGCGCCTGTGTACGTCAAGTGATCCTCGTCAAACTCCTTCTGCGCCTCCTGCTGCATCTTCAGGTGCTTCCAGAACATGAATATTGCCACAGGGTAGTGCAGCATCGCGATGATCATCAGGAAAAAAGACGCCTTGAACGATGCGTCATCCTCCTTACCCAGAGGCTTCGACTGAACCTAGCACAAAAGCCAACATGGCCGTGAAACAGGCCACGCTCGCTAGGAAGAATCCTCCACCGACCCACTTCTTGTTGCCCTTGCAGCAAGTGATGGCGCCCACCATCGCGACGATTGCCATCACACCGTTCGACAGACTCATGCCGCCGAATGTCATTGTGGCCGTGCCCAGGAGACCACACGACTTGTCCAGGAACTTGTCAAATTGAACAGCGTCCATGCCGGCAGCCGTGGCCAGGACCGAAACGTACGCCGTCTGCTCCTCGTCACTCACGTCACCCGCGTTGCTGTAGCCCTTGCAGATCCCATCGGACGAGTATTTGGACCACACGTCGGCGTTCAGCACCGACAAATCGTCGTACGAGGACCCGAACTTGTAGTAGAAGAAGTGGTCGAACGACGTGCCATTGGTCATCTCGCTGTCGACGCAGAAACCCAGGAGACCAGCCTTGAAGCTCGTGCTCGATACTTCCGAGGCAAGTGCCGAGCTCACGGTCTTATTCGAGCTCCGGGAAGGATGAAAGCGGCGATGTTGTAAGCCGTGGCGATGATGATCATGGCGATGGCCCCGAACGCAAACTTGCTGACCGCCATCGTGATTTGTTGTTGTTACGGTAAATGGGTGTGCTACTTTAGGGGTTTAACCGGAAGAGCAAATTGGAAAATGAGGCAGTGCGGCACAACATCCTTGAGCCGGTACCTGGTAGCTCCTGTCACTGTTTACATTTTCTACAGGCATTATAGTAGACTGATATCCATACCAGAGGCAAAAAGGCTCTTCGATGCATGTGAGCTTACAAGGAGAGAATCCAGCCCAAACTGTAAGCAATCGACACTCACCGCAGAATTGTAGTAAGCATAATTTCTGGATTCATGTGGTCTGACTATGATTACCCATGTTGATGAGGTCGAGCAACAGTGGTAAACAACAGACACAATTGTGCTTTCGACAGCTGTTCCAATCTGTTATATATTAGTGCTGTTACAGCACTGCTGTAGTATCTTACAGTGTACAAGAACCATTTATTTATTGTTACATGTAGTGCGAACGACGAAGTATTAATGCTGTTTGTGGAGACGAAATCTGGGCTAGACTAAAAGGCACATCTGTGTCGCCATTACGACAGTGCAGACTGGAGCCACTTGTTGTTTGTTCGTGGCTTCTTCAACACGAAAATCCGTGAACCACTCGATTGCGCTGTAAATTTGGTGTCGTCGCCATTGCAATCACTGCTCCAGCTCTGATGCGATTTGAATCGAGTGAGGTCCTGGATTAAAGTCCTTGAGCTGGCATCCTTTGTTTACCTCGTTTACAATGCGCACCTGTGTGTATATCGCTCGACTTTCCGTCCTAGAGATTACAGGACCCAGAGGGAACGAACTGCTAGGTAAATTCGGACATCTCGCCCACTCAGGACCTCACTCTCCAAATCTTGGCAAAGCTACACAGCGAACGACGCGAAACAAACAACATTCGCTCAATGGCGATCTCGAAACACGGATACGGCGCCATCGCCATGATCATCTTCGCCACGCTTTACAACGCCGTCGCTATGATCCTTCCAATGTGGACAGCCAACTCCACAGTCAACCCTGCGCTCACCAGTGAGATCGCCAGTACAAATTTCAAAGCGGGACTCATGAGCTTCTGTATTGACAGCGAGCTCGCCAACTGGACCACCACCTTCGACCATTGCTTCTTCTACAAGTTCGGATCTGGCTACGAAGATCTTAAGGCCATCAACGAGACGGTGTGGACCAAATACTCGGAGTACGCCACGTGCGAAGGCTACGGCAAGGCTGGAGATGTGAGTGAGGCCGAACGCTTGGCGTACGCAACGGTGCTGGCGACTGCTGCCGGTATGGACGCCACGCAGTTCGACAAGTTTTTGGACAAGTCATATAGTATTCTCGGTATGGGAACCATGACGTTCGGCGGTATGAGTATGTCGAACGGTCTGATGGTCATCATCGCGATCGTAGGCGCCATCACGTGCCGCCAAGGCGACAAGAAGTGGGTTGGTGGAGGCTTCTTCCTGGCGGGTGTGGCGGCCTTCACGGCCATGTTGACGTTCGTGCTGTGGCTGGTGCAGGCGGGTCCGTTGGGTGAGAAGGATGACACGTCGTTGAAGACAGCATTCTTCCTGATGATCATCGCGATGCTGCACTACCCGCTGGCGATGTTCATGTTCTGGAAGCACTTGCAGTTGGAGACGGGAAAGGGAAGCTCGGTGGCCTAGAAGAGAAACACTAAAGCAAAATGCTCGCTACAATTTCACAGTCCAATACACATTCTTATAGTTTGCACTACTTACACTCATAGTTTATTACGTACGGTGATACCAGATCTCTGCCTCCGGGGGTTATCTGGTCGGCATTCACTCCACGCACTGTAACGTCTCTCGTAATACTGGCCTAGACATCAGTGAGGTACAGTGTGGAGAAGCACTCGTCTTCATGGGCATCACGATGTCTCGGTCCCAGCATCAGCAACACGTGGCTCGATCTTCAACGACCGCGCAAAGCAGGCATCTCCGTCCGCGAATGGAACTGTTGAGCAGATGTGTTCCTGTACAATTAAGGAAAAGCAATATTAACCTGAAGTCATCCTGTAAATCTGTGAGCAGAACAGGCTGGACGTACCAGCACACGCTTGTCCGTCGGCAACAAGTACGGCGTCTTCTGGAACGACAGTATCTTTTGAATGAGGCCACCAATGGAACGGATCTTCTTAAAGTTGATCAGGTCTCCCTCCACTCGGTCTGGGTACTCCTGGAGTGCGAGCACGTTCTGAATGACAACGCCCATGTACGGGATCAGTGGGGGCGTCGCTTCCTTCGTGAACTTATTCAGTGATCGCGCTCCCTTCTCCGTGAGTGGAACCAACTCTTGCCATAGATCTCGCGCTTGCGGAAGGAGTCGACCCCATGTTTTCTTCAGACGGAAGATCGAGGAATCGTTTGCTGCATTCATGACTGCCATGAACCCATCGAGGTTTTGTAGGGGTGAGAGCAACACCCCAGCAACGCGAATGAAATACGCGAGGATCTCTGCACGCTGGTCCACGTCGCCTCGCATCAGAATCTGGCTGACCACCCAAATCGAGATGTGATTATGCAGCAGTCGGAGCCGCTGATACCCTGGAGTCTTCTCAGCGTTACGCTTAGACGCCAATACCTCGGACACTGGAGCATTAAATAAACGTTAAAAAAAACCGTTAGCTATCCTATCATAGCATGTTACGCCACACGCAGATATTCACCTTTGATCTTGCTGAAGAGATAATGCTGCATCAGAGTGATCTGCTGGGCAATGATGCTGGGGTCTAGATCCAAGATCCTAAAGAAAAGGGAAGAAAACAATCAGCTTAAGCGACATTCATAGCTGCAACTATGTAGTCGCACGGACATACCAAAGTCTGGCCATGCGTTGTTCCGAGGGATGCGACCGCCCCACATTCACACCTCTCGGTTGCCACGGCGTGATCGTTGTCGATCGTCCCTCCGACAGTGTCTCGAGCGTCTCTTCGGGCTTCACTACGAACGATTTCTTCGTCTCTCCAGCCTTCCACACACCAGCGAGAGACATTCGGCGTCGCATCGTTTCCGTGATAATCTCCATTCCCACCGCGGCAGCGAACAGGTCGTCGTCCAAAAACTCAAGGTTCGGGTTTGCTTGCTTCGCGGTGCAGATAAACTGCTTCAGCGACGTGTAGTCGCCTTCACAGAAAGAGAGCACCTGGAACTCCTGCACACGGTTGGACTGACAAGCCTCAGCAAACTCGGGCAACAACGACACGCTTATCCATTGCGCACACTGTGGGTCTTCCTTCGCTAGATCGTCCTCAAGAGGGACCAGCTCCGTGTACAACTCAGCGACGTAGTTACAGATGTCCATGTTGCACTCCACACTGTGCTTCAAAATCTCCACCAGCTTGTTCAAAGCACTCAAGACCATGCGTCGCACGTAGAAGCCGGCGCCTGTGTCCACTGAATACTGCTTCCACACATTTCGGAGGATGTCCACCATTTCACGATAGCTATCTCCGCCTCCACTCGACGCATAGCCACAGGACCAGATGAGCGCACTAAGCTCTTCCAGTCGGTAGTTCTCATAACGTAATAAAAGACCAGCAATAGCATCGAACGTGCCCGCAATAATCTCCTCAACTCCATCGTTCTCTTCGGTCACCAGATCTTTAATGCTCAAACTCTTCCCAGAAAGATCTTTGCGTCCTGTCAGTGACATGGGAATGTCTGCCTTTTCCACTTCATCCAAGTCTTCATCGTCGTCGTCTGAGTCGTCATCGTTATCACCCATTTCACAGTAATCATCGGCCACTGTTGAGTCACCATTCGACATATTCTCACTTGCAAGGGCGAGCGAGGAGCGACTCGCTTCGGCCATTGACACTGCCGACTGGCCATACAGATCAAACCTTTCCGCATTCGAGTCGTCGCCCATCTTGGCCAGGAGACACGCAAACAGCTCGTCACAGCCGTACAGGGCAGCATAGTGCAGAGGTGTCCGGTAAACCTCGCAAACAGCTGACACATCTGCGCCGCTCTGGACAAGATAGTTCATCGTTGAAATGACGGAGGAGTTGTCCACACGAATGCTGTTGCGTAAATCAACTGTTGTCTTCTGGTGATGATGCCGTCCATCGTGGAGAGTGTCGCCCATTAGAGACGGCACAGAAGGCGATAGAGCAGCGATTTTCTCCATGGCCATTCCGTGATCTTTAGCGACAGCAATCATTAGCGGCGTCAGCCCTTCACTCGTACGAACATCAACGTCGCAGCCTTTCCTCACGAGAAGCTCACATACACGCTGACTGGCACTAGCTGCTGCAAAATGCAGCGGTGTCTCGCCATGCAGCGTGCGAATGTCCACTTGGGCGCCATAGTCGATCAATCCTTCCACCACATTTGCTCGGCCGCTCTTCGCTGCAAGAGCAAGAGCACTCATACCACGCTGCCAGTTTCGAGCATTGAGGTCGACATTGCTATCAGCTTCCATTATCGCGTCGATTGCACCAAGATAGCCTCGTTCTGCCAGCAACATCACAGGAGTATTACCATAAATGTCAACAGTGTCGACAGGAGCTCCATGGGCGAGAAGCTTCTTTACGACTAGCACGGCCTTGTCCGAGTCGCTTAGCGTCGCCGACGCCCCATTTGCCGCTTTCGTCATGTCGCTAGACGTCGTCATCGTCGCAGGCATCATACACGGAGATCCGACCATATGCAGCGCGCTGCGTCCACATTCGCCTATCGTCTTCACCTTTGCTCCGTGCTGAAGCATGTACGACACAACGTTAAAGTGAAGCGCACTGACTGCGACATGAAGCGGCGTGTTGCTTCCACACTCATGAGCAACATAATTCACGTCCGCACCATTCGCCAGCAGCATTTGCACACTGAATACATCGCCGCGCTGACACGCGTGCATCAACGCAACGTTCCACAGCGCCTTGTTGGACGTCAGAATCTTGAAGTAACTACTTCCCGGGATGAACGCGAGTCGATGAGGAGACGCCGATTGCAGCAGTAGCGTCATGATGTCTTGGAACGGCCACAGCACCACGTTTTGACCATTCACCGTCACTAAGACAAACCCCCGCGTTATAATATTCCCAACGGCAGAATAACCGTGAGGAGATATATGCTCCACAACGGCGCCATACCGATAGGTACACTCCACCTCAAACTCCAGAACACGGCGCCAGTCTCCGTCAATCGATAGCGTAATTTGGTCCTTAAAGATGTCCTCCAGCACAGCTGGGATGCTCACATTGCTGATAAAATCCACCGCATGCGTCAAAATGTTCAGCGACGTTTCATCGTCAGGAGATCTGCCCACGGACCAGGATCCATTCAGCTCCATCAACAAGGTTTTAAGCGAGATGAGGTTTTCCAGTCCGCTATTCGACAGCACGTAGGTGAAGATCGGAATGATATCGTCAGTCTCGAGTGGCTCCAGCTCAGCGATGGTGTCGTGCTCCTCAGCATAAGTAGACTGGACCTCCTTCATCGTACTTGTGAGCACGTCATACTTGGCTGCAGGCAGCTGGACTTGGGCGATTTGCGCAAGAATTCTGGACGCCTTCCGCCATTCTTTCCACGAGACCTGGTGCACCGGGATATTGAAGTACATCTGGTCTTTGCCTTGCAGCCATCTCACCTTGCGGTTAATAGACGACTCTTCTTCGTGATATACACGACGCAAGAAAGCGTTGATTTTGCCTTGCAGTGGCACGAAAAGCACTTCTTCCACATGACGAGAGACAGCTGAGCGTAAAATATCAAGAGAGACCGGCAGCATGTCTTGTATCTTCTCTGCAGCCGTGATAGTTCCGTTCGCGTTGTCGTTTCCTGGGTCCTTAAGAGCTGCCAAGATGCGTGCGCCGTGCTCTTTCACAATGGATTCGGTCAACGTTGCGTGGAACTCGCGGAATTCACGGAGAGCGCCCGAACTTCGTGACTCGAACGAGCCAATAAAGCTTTTGAATTTGACCGCCTCGGGGGACTTGCTTGTGTGGAGCACTCGACGCAACTCGGCTACGATGCGAATACTCCTAGCGTCGATCGTACTAATGCGAATCCGATGACCCTTTGACCCATCTGATGCCTGTAGAAGGCTGCTGGCGGCTGCCGTGCCTAGCAGACCGGCCGAAGGTGGAATAGTGCTGCTATCACCACCTGACAAGCTTTGAAGCAGACACACCCAGGCGCTCGCATCGTCGTCATTAGATCCAGAGCACACAAAGGAAAAGTCCTCGCCAGCTACTTCAAAGCAGAACGGTCGCTTGGTCTCGTCCGGTTCCAGGAAGCGCACTGACATACCGTCCTGCAGATGCATCTCGCCACGTAGCTTGCCAAAGTTGCTGCCTTTGTAGTATTGCAGAGAGGCCCAGTACTCACCGGTTGCTAGATTCGTTCGCTTGATTAGTACAAAATACCGTCGCTTCCAGGTTTTCCTATAGCAATAAAAAAAATGTTAATATCAGTTCTCTTAAATAAATAAAAACACGCTCTCGTTAACGTACATAACGTTCGCCTGCTTGTATAGCCAGCCACTGCGCACCAGTTCTCGCTCGATTCGCATAGACGAGGAGTTTCTCCTTGAGCCTAGTGAGTTGCTGCTTGAGTAGCTCGATGACAATTCTGTGCTTCTCGCGGACATCCTCAGTAGCGTCTCCTGATCTGGTACTCTAACCGTCTTGCCCGCGGGGACTCGTCTCGCTGATACTCTCCATGAAAACTTTTTACTTCCCATGTGTCTGTGAGCTCTCAGCGCGTCCTCCGCTGTCTGCAACACCGGCACAAAATCGTCCTCTTCGGCGTCGTATTCGCCCAACACGACCTTCGCTTCCGCTCCTCCTTCATCGTCACTGTTCACTTCGACCACGGTTTGATCTGCGCCGTCCAATCGGAAGCCGCTGCTGTCTCTTGCCGCCTCCAACACGGGAATATCTCCGTCCGACCCTCCTCGACGTCTCGAGGTGTCCAGCGGGGGGTTATGGCGCCGTGGGGGCACATTGGACAGACCCTGGGCTCTCAAAGGCGGAAGAGGTGACGGCGGGGGTCGCTTCGAGACCTTCTGCAGCTGTACGGGGGACGATACCTCGTCCATGAGGAACGTACTGAAACTCAGCTGACCAGGGGACGCAGCGCCTCCGTTACGGTCCATATCTTGCTTCAGTACGTCGGAGGCCACTCGGTGCAGGTCCAAGGCGCTGCGGTTCATATCCTCGACGGCGCTAAGGCCGTCCGCAGTTGGGTTTACAGGTGCTTTGAGGTGCGTAGATGGGTTTTATCGTCGTTTTGCCCTCAGTCACGCACAAGACACACACGACTCAAAAACAGTAAGAGCGAGAGCGAGATATTTGCGCACGATGTCGTATACAGGAAGCACAGAAAGCGCCTGGGGGCCCGGACACAGCGTGCAGGAATACGAGCCAGCTGTGGACTCTACTTTCTTCTTGGGTTTTGCCGTCTACAATGCAGCTGTCGCGAGAATGTTATCAGAAGGTTGCACTAATGAAGCCTAAACACGACGCAAAAAACTGTTGTTCACTTGCAACAAAGTGGGGTATTCTAGCATTACAATGCTCACTTCCCAACAGCAGAAATTCTTGAGATATTTCTTTTAAAATGATGGTATGCGTGTACAATGTACTGAATAGAAGACTATTGCAAAGCCGATAGTAGCGGCGGAAGAGCTTCGATCCAGAGCTGCAACTCCAGCACCAGCTACAGGAGACAAGTCTGGTTAACAGAGCCAAGCGACGTGTGGACGATAGGTTGCCTTGCCTACGCTTCGCGACTCGGCGTCACGGGGTCAGTGATCGTCGTGGGGCCGTCGGCCGGCAGCAAAGCAGCGAAAATGATGCGAAATGCGATGCAGTGACACCAACTTCAAGGATCACGAAAGCTTTCGTCACGTCACGGATACCGGCACTGCATCCAAATGTACCAGCTTCCTGCAGAGCACCTGCAGTACGTCGGCACCCCGATCGCGACTCGGTTCGGTCATCGCATGGGGCAGCCGGAGCCAAAGTCCCAACATGACTTGTTAATATTCATTAAAAGCACTCTTGTCCAGATGCGATTCGGTGGATAGGCCTGGATCGACTACCTTCAGTGGAGTCCACATGCTACACAACAGCCTTCCGATCTTGTGGTGGCGTCCACCTCATGGCTCATGAGGGACGACTAGTGCGACCCAGTTGGCTATGATAAAAGCTGATGGAGCCCTAAGGAGCAGAGTATCCATAGGGGGGGGCAGGTCTGTCTTTTGAAAAGGCCACAGTTCCAGACTCGATCACTTTCCAATTCACCCTTTAACCTGCCATTCCAAACACACTCGAACTATGACAAAGACTCTCGCGTTCTCCACCGCTGCGCTTCTGGCAATCATCAGCGTCACCTGTGCGACTACCGCTGGGAAAGCGTCAACGAAAGCTGCTCCTTGTTGGACTTCGCGACACACGATACCCAGTTCCTCCTATTGAACAACGCGGTCGACGTGGTGGCCCAATCGACACTATTGTCCACTCTGATGAATGACTATGATCCACTTGTACTCGAGAACATCAACCTCGGGACGTTTTCCTACTCCATTCTGGGCCGTTCACGCCCATGCTTGACCACTTGAACGTGACGGGACTTGCAAATATTGTTCCGGAGCACATAAACGCTTCATCGTCGAACAGCATTGATCTCGGGGCCTATTGCACTGGTCAAGTTTCAATTGACGCTACCGTGAGCTTGACGCTGGAGGAGATTGACGCGTCCATCTCTGTCGATGTATCACTCACACTGGACAAGCCTGTACTGTCAGCGAATGTGCAGGTCGACATGTACGGCTGTGCGCCGGGTGCACCAGACTGCAAAGACATCACTCTCACCACCATTGAAGTTGCAGGTGTTGATGGTAAGTACAACACCATCATGGACTTGCTGCTGCTTCGATCCAAGTCTGCAGCTGTTCAAACAGTTGCGTTAGACTTCGACTCCATTTCCAACTCCGATTAAAGCTTCCACGGCTCTGGGCCGGTTATCTCAGCGATCACGGATGTTGTGGCAGACTTCTCGGCCGACAAGATTAACATAAAGGGCGATATCTACGACACATTTACTTCAAACATCAACGATCAATTGAAGTCGGTGGCAAACGACTACATTGCCTCAAAACTCAAGCCAAGATTCGGTGCCACTTGCGTCGAGGACTACTAAAAAAGTAGTTCAAAGTTAAGCTTTTAAACGTGTTTATGGATAACTTGAATGTCTCGTTCACCCCCCCCCCAAAACGATCACCCTGATGCCCGTTGTTATCGCCAGGTTTAGCTGGCTAAGGATAGTCCTGCGAACATGAGTGACCTCGTGTTTTTTTCGGGCTGTAGACACTGCGTTTTAGTTTCGGGGGTTCGTTTGGGACTGAAAACGTTAGACCACAGTCGCGAACGAGCCATGGATGTGATCGAGACGGACACCGCCGAAGTACAGGTAAACTCTGTAGGAGCTACCAGCTATGTGAACAGCTACAAGATCATGGATATGCTGGGCGAGGGCACGTTTTCGAAAGTTTATCTTTGCCAGAACGACGCAGGGGTTGAGTTTGTGAGTGATCAACTGTAAACGTGACGCTTGTAGTGCTTGTACATACCAACACGCAATTCTGTGGCGATCTAGGCGCTCAAGATCGTCAACAAGTCAATCCTGAAGCGCAAACGCGAGTACAAACGTGTCGACGGGAAACTTGTTCTCTCCAACGTCTTCCAGGTAGCCTGCTTCAGTTGAAAGCACCTTCTTGCCTAGATTATCAACATGCTTCGTGTGACCATCTCCAGAAAGTCCAAAAAGAGGTAGCTATCATGAAAAAGCTAGCACACTCGAACCTCGTCAGGTTGTACGAGGTCATCGATAGCCCGGCCGACGATAAATTGTTCTTGGTGCTCGAACTCATCCGCGGCGGTCAGGTCATGCACTGGGACGACAAGAAATCTCGCTATATTGCTCGCAATTCCACGACGGGTGTACTAGATAAGGAAACCGTTCGCGAGTGCATGCGTGACGTCGTCGCTGCACTAGTCTTTCGTACGCGTGTTGCTCTAAACTCATTGAAACGCCTGGACCAGCCAGCTACTAACAACTTGTTCCTTTCTGTTGCTAGTGCATCGTAACCATATCTGCCATCGCGACATCAAGCCCGAGAATATTCTTCTATCTGGTGATCGGTACAAGCTCGCTGACTTTGGAGTTGCTCATATGAATGAAGACGAACTATCAGCTGCAGCCAAAGGTGGGGATGCGGCTGCTTTAAAGCTCCGTAGTACCGAAGGGACGTATCATTTTCTCGCCCCGGAATGCACGACTGGTGACGAATATGATCCTTATCAGGTAGACGTTTGGGCGCTAGGGGTGACCATGTTCACCTTGCTATCTGGGACGCTACCATTCGGCACAAGCGTCGCATCATTGAGTGATGTGATGATGTCAATTCGCGAGGATCCGTTGGTTCTACCGCCCGATCTTGATGCTGAATGCGCTCAACTACTCACTCAGCTTTTGGAGAAGAGCCCCCACAAACGTATCACGGTTACGCTGCTCAAAACCCACCCGTGGCTCTTGGGAGCAGGTGATGAACTGATTCGAAGACCTTCGAGTCGGGAAGTGATGGTAACGCAGCAGGAGATCGAAGCTGCTTTCACACCAGTCAATAACTTTATTCTGGTGATGAAACTCAAGATGAAAATGTCGTCACGGCTCAATAACGCCCGCAAAGCGCTCGCTAACAACGTTAACGGCACTCGAGTTGATAAAGCGATGCCAGTGACAGAAAATAATTTCGTGTTTTCGTCTCAACCTGCTGAAGATAAAGGAGATAAGGAGACAAAGACGGCCGAAATGGCCCCTGGTGAATTACCACGGGTGAAGACTGATAAATTACAGAGACGGCCGAGTGGTCTTGTGGGAAATATAAGCGAGACGGTGGGCTCTCTTACTTCGACATTAACGCGTCGACTAAGAGCTATCGTACCAGCTTTCGATAGCGCAACTTCGGCCACACCGCCTCAAGCTCCGGAAATGGATTCAACAGGCAAAGCAGATGCAAATGGGCGCCCCGGGCCTAGCATGTCGACTCGCAACTCGCGCGCCATTGAAGCCTTAATCTTCGAAATGCGTACTGACATCGAGCCGTTGGCCGGAGTCGTGACAACCGAAGAAATCTGTGGTGATCTGTCGCCCGGTAGAAATGAAGCTCGGAGAACTTCTTTGGTATCGTTACTTAACAGGGACAAGTCTCCAACCAAGTCAGACGCGGGATTATCGCCGAACACACACAAACTGACAAAACGCAAGTCGGTATCCCCGACGAGCTGGGACGAAAAATGAAGACCTTAGCTTAGCTTGCTTTCCGTCCACAAAGGTAACCCAAAACGAAATCGTAGTACAGTACATGGACAATAAAAAAAAAAAAGCGTGCAATACATGGTGAACCTGAAGAGTGACCGCTCGTTCATGAGTTGGTGTCTTGGCGCTTAAATCCAAGAGAAAGTTCTTTTGGCGCCATAGCGAAACGACGACAAAGCCCCACACGATGTGAGGCCTACGTGAATAAGTCTGTGGCAGGAATGTCAATGACATTGTCATTGCAATTATTGCATGAGGTAACTAGACTTACTAGTGTCTTTATTGTACGCTCCTCCCGCGCCCAACGTGGTCCCACTGTTCAGATTTTGGCGGGACACCTTTGACACCTTAAGATACAGAGCCCTTACTTAAACCAAGTGAAAATCATTCCGCCGGCCGGGTTCATTCTTCAAATTGCTGTGTCGAGTTAAACCTTTTTTGCAAATTGTCAAGTGTTCCAGAAATGCAAACACCTGCTCTACCAGTCATTGCCACGGGCTTCGTGCGCAAGCTGTATCGCATTCTGGACCAGGAGAGTGCGGCTGTCATCGCCTGGGATGACGATGGCACGTCCTTCGTGATGCTCGACAATGACGCACTAGAGAGCCAAGTGCTGCCTCGATACTACCGCGGCCGGCTCAGCGCCTTCCGTCAGCAACTTAAAGAGCACAGCTTCGTATCCGAGACAACAGAGCAAGGACAGGAGAGATATCGCCACCGGTTCTTCCGACGTGGCTGTCCAGATATACTCAACCAGATCGCACACATGCCTTTGCCAAGGAAGAGGCCTCCTAGAAAGAAAAAGCGCAAGACTACTGCTGTGACAATTGGTACAACAAGTGACATCAAGATAGCAAAGAACCGAGCTATTAGTAGAGGGGTGCATCGAGTGGCGCCCTACCCGGTGCAACAAGAACCCGAACCAGAATTTAAACATGCTGTCGTCGACCCAGCAGCGTTGGCCGGCAATCCGTTATTTGGAGAAGAAGAGTCATTAAGCAACTTCGTGCAAGGGCTGGCTGTGGACGGGTTATCTGTACGCCCTTTAGACGCCACAGCTCCGCCAAAAGGTGAACCCATGTCTGAAGACGTAATGGAGGCTCTGTTATCGTTGCTCAGCACGTCCTTGTCAACTGACGGACGGGAAGCAAATGCTGCTGCCTCAATTGGAACTGTAAGCGCCACAGTAACGTCCACGACGAATACTGACAGCACGAGCACTACGTGCAGCATCAACAATATCTTCGCAGACGGCCGGCCACCCGTGGTTTTGCCGACATTACCGCCAGGTATCGTCGAAAACGGTCAGTTCTCCGACGAGACCTTGAACAACCTCATGCTTTGGGTGTCTGGTAAAGGGACAAGTGCATCGTGAATTAATTTTAACAGTTATTAATATCATTAATACTTATTAATAACTTGTGCTAGCATGTAAGCTATTAAAACTGCTTCAATGACATCTACATTTCAGCACGGGTACATTACCGGTATGTGCCGTTTTCATCCAATCACATATCATATGCTTCCCACCGCACTTCTTACCACTTTGGCCATGGCGGTGGGAATACCGACGGGCTTCGTGCGCAAGCTCTACCGTATCTTAGACCACGAGAGCGCGGCTATCATCAGTTGGGACGAGGGTGGTGTGTCATTTTCCGTTCATGACAGCGCTGCACTCGACGCGCAAATTTTACCGCGCTATTTTCGAGGCCGCCTCTGTGCCTTCCGCCAGCAGCTCGTGGACCATGGCTTCATGCGCGGCGACTGCGAGGAGGACGACACACGTGAAGAGTACAGACACCCAGACTTCCTCAAGGGCCAACCTGCTCGGCTGAGTAAAATCGAGCGGAAACCTAAGCGAAACGCTAAAACCCCTCGAAATTTCAATGGTGAAACTCAAAGTATGAATGTTACAACGCATGCTGTAACTTCTAAACGACCGATTTCCCTGAAGGTGACACTCAGTATGCCGCCGAGGGAAGGGAAGAAGCGACATCGAACAGAGACAACGGTCAGTGAAATACCAAAGAGATTTAAGCCGTTAACCGCCCAGACACCGCCAATTACCGCACAAAAAGTCAAGAATCCTCTGTTTTCGGACGATCCAGAGCCCGGAATTCTATCCCTAGCCAAATTCGTGGAAGGAAGCGGGTTACTCCCGGCGAGTTCGGATCTGCCGGACCCAATTAGCTATCTCAATAAAGCTGCAGATACGGCCAACGGGACATGTCAGGGAATAGATGAAGTTCGGCAAGTGGCCGGACCAGAGGGGGCCGCACCGACCGGTTCAATGTTCTCGGACGATACGGTAAAGTCGGCGTTGTTTTTTCTTGTTTCATCATCCTGCACCGGAATTGAGAGCAAAAGTGCGATCCCCACGACAGCCACGGCATTGGCGACAACTTCTGCATCGACGTTACCGACGGCAATGACAACTTCTACAACAAATTTTCTAGCGTCGCTACTTGCTTCTTCCTCGACTGGAGGCACGACAGCGACCCCGCTTGCTAAAGGCAGCAATCCTTTGTTCAGCGATTAATCAATGGATGGAGATGATGATAGTATCTGGAACATCCTGGTATCCTCGTCTGTAGACCGTGCTCGCAGCGCTATCGGCGCGATGGAATCTCCGCAGGAGAAGTTGAGACTGATTCTGGAGGAACGAGAGAAATTGGAGGAGCAGCGAATGAAAGTAGGAGCATCAACGGGACCGATTGTACCAAAAAGTTTCATGGCGACCAACCCTCCCGCGGCTGCTACGATGGACAGCTCTAAGCTTCAAAATCAGCAAAACCCTCTTTTTGCAACGGACAACGGCAATGGCACAATGGGAAGTCAAGTTGAACCTGCAGAAGATGATCTATGGAAGCTGTTAATGTCGTCCTCAATCGATTCCTTCAGACGGGTACCGGTAAATGAGATGGGACTGTAAACACAAATGCTACATGTACCTAGTTCTACCGGTATAGGATTTTTAAATTTTCTGGATTACTGGAGCATCTTGCTTTTACCTGTTGTACACTATTCATACTAAGTACAAGTATGAGTTACTCACCTGCTTGCTCATTTTGTACAGACCCGACAAAGCAAAAGTTTTCTAAAAATAAAGCAGCAGTTTGTGCAAACTTCTTGCTTCGTATTTTTCCGAATAAAACTTGTTCTCGATATCTTGTCGTGGTAAGCTTAACGATGTTTTGCCACAATTCTGCTGCTTGCACGCTATCCATACGAGTAGTTGCCAAGCTAGCAAGCAACCAGTACAAGTAATCGGATTCCAGAACGTTCGGGGTACCGGTATGTAAAATTTACATTTAATGGATATTCAATCAGAATGATTGTAAAAAGGCAGCTTGTGTTTACCTTACAATCTAATTGACCAGCTGAAGCTAATATTAAATACAAGTCAAGATGGCTCGCTCTCGTCGTTCCAGCGCCCCCACTCGCAAGCCCGCCCCGACCAAGGCTGCGCCCGTCCCTGCAAAGCAGCCTGCCGCTCCTGCCCCTACTCCGGTCAGCGCACCCGCTCCCAGTGTCAGCGGCGGTCTTCTCTCTACTGTCGCTGAGGGATTTGCGTTCGGAACGGGTAGTGCCATCGCCCGACATGGTGTGAACGCCGTCGTCGACTCCTTCAGTGGCTCCAAGGACGAGCCCGTACCTCAGCCCGTCGCTGCTGCTCCTATTGCTCCCACCACTAAGTCCTCGGCCGCCGTGTGCGCCAGCGACAGTAAGGCCTTCCTGGATTGCATCGACCGCAACTCGAACGACGTGGCAGCCTGCCAGTTCTACCTCGATGCTCTTAACCAGTGCAAACAGCAGAGTGTCAACCTGTAGAAAACCGATAGACGCGGCGTAGGCAACTTTGTAATACCTTCAATACCTTACTACACAATGATATACTACATAGTACTACCAGTAGTATCAATTTAGCCCAGCTACAGTCAAATGTGTACAGTAGTACATGTGTATTAGTGCGTCACTAAGACGCAATGAAGCGATCGACGCTATCCTGTGTATTGCCAGGATTGAGGGATGAAGATTCTACAAAAAATCGCTCCACCGTACCCATTTGTGTCGGTGCTAGACGTCGTTGGCATCCGGAACGCATCAAAGCTAGCAGAAAACATCGATTGAAGCTGCATTGTGACCGAGGTCCCTCGATTGGATCGAATGCTACGCTCCATCCTTACACCTTCTTGACGATCTGCACAATATCTTCGTCCTGTAGCTGGTGCTCCTTGCCGACTTTTTGCGGCTGGTGCTTACAGGAAGATCCCCAGACCCAGGCGTACTTAAAATCCTTGAGCAGTGACTTGTGAATACGCTGGCAAAAATTCTCGACCGTCGGGTTCTCCTCGTGTAGAATAACAGGCGCGTTGTAGTCGGGCAGTTTGCCTCGCGGTTTCGTGTAGATGCGGATCATGTGACAGTAGTCCCAGATCGTTTCCAGCAACTCGTCCAGATTCCATCCGTGGTGGGCTGAGATCACGACGTTGTGTGGGATCTGGTCAATGATGGTCAGCTCCTCAATCGTGAGCTGGTCGATCTTGTTAAGCACGTACAGGCACGGAATGTACACGCGATTGCCCTCGATCTGGTCGATGAATTCGTCTACTGTCACATCGGCACGCAGTGTCACATCGGCGTTGTGGATCTTGTACTCGTGCAGGATCTGGTAGACCGTGTCGGCGTCCAGTTCGGTCTGTGGGACGGTAGTCTGGAAGTTAACACCACCACGCTCTTTGCGACGGAAAACCATGTTGGCTGGCTTCTTATTGAGGCGAATACCGAATCCCTCGAGCTCGAACTCGATGAGTTTCTTGTGTGTGGCAGGTTTCATGGCGTCCAGCACGATGAGAATGACGTTGCAAGTACGAGCTGTACCGATGACCTGTCGACCGCGACCTTTACCGTCCTTGGCACCCTCAATAATACCGGGAAGGTCGAGGATTTGGATGCGAGCGCCGCGGTAGTTGAGCGTTCCAGGGATGGCTGTGAGCGTTGTGAACTCGTAGGACGCCGACTCGGAAAAAGTGCCAGTGAGTTTAGTCAAAAGTGTGGACTTGCCCACGGAGGGGAAGCCTACGAGCCCAACGCGCGTATCGCCGGCCTTGTTGACGTCGAAGCCTTCGCCTGCACCGCCACCGCCAGACTTGGAGCCGGCGTCCGTCACTTCGCGGCGCAACTTGGCGATCTTGGCCTTGAGTAGACACAGGTGCTTCATGGTGGCCTTATTCTTCTGCGTACGAGCATACTCGGCCTCCAGCTCGGCGATCTTGGCCATCGCGGACGACATGGCTGCCTACGTAGATCTCTATCTCGGCACTGGTAGTGGGAGGATAGGCAAGTGGCAACGGATGGCCGAGCAGCTACGAAACCCAGAATAGCGAATCATCTTCACCCAAAGTTAATAAGTTTCGGCTTCAAGTATTATTTAAGCAAGGTGTATTCGATTAGATAGGCTGAAGCCCAAAACAGAAACTGATTAGCGCAGTATCGGGAGCAGAGTCTTGTGCTGCTCGTCGAAGGCGCAGCTCTCGACCGTATCGGAGACCGCACGGCCACAGCAGCGCCCACAACAGGAGCCTAGAGGCGGACACACATTTGGAGGAAGCTCGCAGATTAATGGGGTCCAACCGTCTGCTGCAGAAAAGCGGGCGCGGGCGGCTGACGCAGCGGAAGCTCGCATGGGAGACTGGCGTCAGGGTGGCCACGCAGACCCGGACAAGGCGCGTAGCATCGCACAGCGCCGCGAGAAGGACGATCTGCTGGCCAAAATTTATAACAGATACACGACATTGGGACGCGAGCCGCCCATCGGACTGCCCTCCTGCGACCTGGATCAACTGCGTCGCCACCTTGGGACACTGCGCTGATTGAACGAGGTCGGGCACATTCATCAGAATATGTTTGTCGATTAATGAAGGCGACCGCGATGCAGTCAATTCCTCCTTAACCGTTTGTACGGAGGCGTGCATTCCTTCCGGGTGCAGTGATCGTGGCTCCAGTGTTGAGGTCCTCAACTTGACGAGCTCCTGGCTCTTTGGCGGGTTTGTAACAAGGCGAACGTTGTGCTACCGGTCGTGGTGGCATTATCCTGGTGTTACTGTACCTTAATTAACGTTTACGCTTCGTACGCTGCAGATCATGTTTGCCTCAATATGCGGTTGATGTGGTGGTAAGGGCCTAGCAATGTCTGTCAAGAGATACACTGTACTTCCTCTCTCAACTGTACTACGATATACAAGTACTACTACAAGTAGTATTTGCTCTTCTTGCCCCGAGCATCGACTTGCGGTCGGTGTTTTCATTTCCTTTTAAGTCTGTCTGTCCTCTGTCGTCTGAGCGCAAGACACTTTTGTAAGTTTTGCTCGCTAGTCGAGGAAATAATTAAACAAATCGCTAAGAGATACGAGCCCTACGCAGCGCGAATACTCGTCCACGCACACAAAGCGATGCGCCTTGCACGCAGCGAACCGCTCGAATATCATATGCAACGTGTCAGTCTTGTAGCATAAATGTAAACCTTCTCCGACGTTGCCCTGCAGCAGCACAAATTGCGGTCAGTCTACACATTTCCACTGCAATACACTACAGTAGTCGACTTATAGGCCCACCTCAGCAGCTTGGATCCTTAGAATTTCCCCCACGGGCATGTCTAACTGGGTAAGTGACCGGTCCTTCACCAACTCGGTGACGTTCGATACACAATAAATATTCACAACAACGCCTGGCACCAATAACAGCGGTGAGTCCACCACCACAGCATTCATGCATTGAAAAAAAAACACTAGCCAACTCTTACCACTTGGATCCACTATCGGCACCGCCGAGACCCTCCGTTCAATTAAAGTGTGCAGCACGCGAATAAGCGGCATATCTTCAGGAACAGTCACGAAGCCGCTGTAGACGCCAATGCCTAGATCGAAGATGGGCTGGTCGAACAGTCTGCGTTGCTCACGGAAGGTGGCTACAAGGTATTCCAAAATCCCGCTGTGCGTGATGACAGCCAAGACCGAGTTCTGGGTCGGGTCTGCTACGGGAAGTCTATGAAGCCGATTGTCGCGAAGCATCTTGCAAACGTCGTAGAGGTTGTGCTCTGGTGTGACCGACACCATTTCTTCCCGAGTTGGTGCCATGGACAGGGATCGCGGGATTGCTATAGCAACGCAGACAGCAGCATTAAGCTAAAGAAACAGTCCTGCAGCAATAAACTACTCATCCAGCAGCTTACCTCTCCAGGATACGATACTGTGCTCTGCTAGCTCGTTCATGGGCGACCCACGGATGTAGAAATGACGCAAGATGTTGACAAAATCGGTAGCCGTGAACATACCCACAAATTTTCCCTGTTCGGCGTCCCAAATGGGCACCGACTTGATGTCTAGTGGCAGCAAAATACAGAAATTAGTCAGCATAATTTCACATCCTGCTTGGTGTGTGTGCGTACCGTGCTCTACCAGTGCGAAAAAGGCGAGGTTGATGGGGATCTTGACGTCAAATACCACGACCTTGCCACTGTTCTTGATGACGTCGTAGCACTGCGTCTCTCTCAGAAAGGCGGCAACGACGCGCTTACCTTCCTTTACGATATCCACGACAGAAGCCTGCGATAAATTGAGTGCAGACGACGAGTTGGAGCGGTCCGAGTCGCTCATGGACTGGTCCTCGTCGCCCTGAAGTTGTGGCGGTAGCGATACGTGGGTACGCGGTATGAGTCCGTTCGATCCAGTCATGGCGTGCAAATTAGCATTGGCGGTATCGCTGAAGCCCGAGGTGGAGCTGTGCGGGGCTGGTGGCGGCGCGTCGTCCCGCGAGGAGGCGTAGTATCCGTCATGGGACATCCCTCCGTCGCCTCGTTTTCTCTTGCGGTCCGCGAGCGTGGTGGTGGCAGGAAGGACGGACGCAGGGGGGAGAGATACGTCCGTGGGGCACGCGCAAAGAGAGAAGGCGAAGAGTGTTGGCGCAGTTTACACACTCAAAGACTCCGCTGGAAGGGGGCCTTTGGCTCAACTAGGGGTTTTCCCAAGTAGGCATAGTAAAGATTAGATAGCTATGTTTTGACCAATGATATGGATTTGAGGACGGTGAAATAGTTCGTGTTGGGTAAAGTACCGGTAGGTAATTCATTGATTATTTACATGGCGACCCCGAGGTCGTTGAAGGTGGGTGGTCCAGCAGACTTAAGTTGCATCGGCAGGAGAATATTATCTCCTTGGTTGATCATACTGAGCTGAGATGCCGGTTAAAACGTAGCGAAATGGAATTGGACTTCAAGCTTACCAAGGCAGTTTTGACAGGGCTCTTTGATTTTTACTGTTAGAACAGCGCAAACAGGATTCTGAACTTGTCTTTCGAGAAGAGAAATATCGACAGACTCGCAACAGCATCTTATCCAGACAAGCACTTGAGTTTGTCGTTTCACGGAGCTAGCTATACATAGTTGCTGCTTGTGCAGAAGGAAAATGACCGACCACTCTGACTTGCATTGTCAGCTCTGTACAACTGCCCGTTCCGTCGCATGCCCCGAGAAAATACAGGCAGCAATATAATTCACTTAGAAGCGGCGAGTACACAGAGATTGCAAGATGTTGGATCGGCTCGCAGAGATCAAAGGCAAGTCCCCTCCGGGAGATCAGGTCGCCATTGATGTTGAGGTGCGTGTTCCGTGATATTAGGGTTCCAGTCTCATGTCGTGGAAAGCTAACGATGCTTTGTAAATGGGTGACCATAGAGGTGAAGCACAGTTCTAAAAGCTATCGGCTCTGATTTCTATAATTCTACTCGTAGTTCGTTACCAATATCGATTCTTATGTCTGTTTAGCCGTGGCGTCGTTCGTCCCAAGTTCATGGAGGTGTTTTTTAAGGATGTCGAGGAAATGCAGATGGACCTCGCCAATATAAGGTCCACTTGCTGCTTTGTACCTCATTCTCTTTAGTGCTATTAACACTCGCAGTGCTCTCGCCTTCTCATCGATACAGCCTCGCTTCGCAGCAGATCACGGAGTTAAACAGCAAAGCCATCCTTGCGACGTCAAATACTGAAGAGCAAGGTAAAAACGTATGGCCCAGCCTTTTTTTAAACTCTAACCGCGCCGCTAACCGTCCGTGCATCCTTCCAGCCATTAGTACCGAGCTCGGGATCGTGATTGAGACCACGAATAAACTAGCTGCTCATGCCAAGGGACTACTGGAGCGGCTGAAGAAAGAGTCAGCTGAGAGGAAGAAGGACAAGAACACGCCTCTGTCTGAAGTCCGGTATGCTCGAATGTGGAATTTACAAACTTCGGGGGCTTTACAAATTGCTATATCATATTTAGAATCCGTGACAACATGTGCGCTACCCTGACCAAGAAGTTCATGGATGCCATGAAGGAGTACCAGAAGGCTCAACAAAAATACAAGAGTGATATGAAGAACAAGGTTAAGCGGCAGGTACAGATCGTGAAGCCCGACGCATCCGAGGCAGAGATCGATGCAGTTATGCGCTCTGGAGATCCTGGATCTATCTACAAAAGCGCCATTCTGCAGGGTGGGGCAGCCGAATCCATCACCGACGTTTTCCTCCACTGCCAGGACAAGTACCAGGACGTGCTCAAGCTGGAGCAGAGTGTGGCAGAGCTGCATCAAATGTTCCTGGACTTGGCGCTGTTGGTGGAGCAGCAGGGTGAACTGCTGGACCAGATAGACTATCAAGTACGCACAGCCGCCAACTACGTGGAGCAGGGCAACAAGGAGGTACAGAAGGCCATCAAGCACCAGAAGTCATACCGCAAGAAGATGTGCTGTCTGCTCGGCATCGGTGTTTCCATTCTCGTGGCGATCGTTGTCATCGCAATGGTACTTAAGAAGGCGTCGTAGTGCGATATGCAAGCTAAGTATTATGTTGGTGCAGGTCTGTAGTGACTACAGCAGTTTTACCAAGCAAATCTACCGTTATACATTGGTATTTTCAAATGTCAAAATTTCAGGGCTAAATAACGAGTGCTTAAGTTTAAATTTTCGGCAATTAAACCAACCCAAATATTTTTAAGTTTTTTACTGGTTCGAATGGTTATATTGTCGTGCACTTGCCATGGTCGCTCGATGGTACTCGCCGCAAGTAGCTAAATGGGTGGCTATCGTGGTGCTTGAACACGTGTGGAAGGCACAGTTTTCTACTAGTAGAAGTTCATTTCCAATTTCAACAAGAATTCTGGGCACACTTGAAGAAGCATTCGGAAGGCTCGTACCGGTATAAATAGGTACTTAGGGCCGTTCCGAACCGGGATTGCAATCCCAGGAACGTTCTGTGATTGGCCAATTCAGAGTCGAGATAAGGGTAACTTTCTTGATTAGACAATCGCTGCGATCTGACCTTGGGATTGCAAGCAGGGCTGGATCTTCGGATTTTATCGCAGCGAAGAAGATGAATGTTCTCGCAAGTTGGACAGAGGGCCCGAGAAAAGCTGCTGCTAGCCGCCGTCGCTGCCTACTGCTGATAGCTGGATCTCTTGCTGCTCTTCCCCCTGGCCAAGGCCAATGTTTCAAGCGTAGACGGTTGGAGTGGCCTGTGTACAAGCAAACCCTACTATTAGAAGGACAGTTCCAGCGCTGTTACAGGATGGATGTGGAGTCGTTCGAGCACCTCTTGCTACTGCTGCGACCTGCTCTCGCTCGTGACGACCTCCAGTCATCTCGACGGACGGGTATCAAACCTGTCACCCCCGAAAATAGGCTCCATATAACAATTTCGTGGCTAGTAGGAAGTAATTATCACACTACTCGTGGTCTCGCCGGTACTTCGGTTTCTGGGTTTTACGACATCATACACGAGGTCATGGCTGCGATTTGCGAGTGTCCCCAGCTTCGTATTCGCTCACCCGTGGAATCAGAGGATCGAATCCAGGAATTAGCAGACGGATTTTCCAGCATTAGCACAGACAAGATATTAAGCGGTTGTGCGGGTTGTATTGACGGCTGGTTGTGCCAAATTAGAGCCCCAAGCGCAAAAGAGGTACCTGATGTGGCTGCGTTTTATTCTGGACACTATCAAATGTATGGTCTAAACGTACAAGCTCTCTGTGACTCGTTGTGCCGCTTCACGGGCTATTGCTTCGATTCTCCCGACAAGGTGGGCGACTCCATCGCGTTCAAGAAGTGGAAGCTGAGCAAGGACATCATGAAGCTGCCACTTGGGTTTTATATCGTTGGTGATAATGCGTACCCATTATCGAACTCGCTACTTGTGCCTTTTACCAAGTTGGAGTTGAAGGGCAGGCAGTATTCTGACTTCAATTTTTATCTCAGCCAACTACGCATTCGTATCGAGATGTCATTTGGATTATTGGTGAACAAGTGGCAAATATTTCAGCGACCACTTGTCGTGGACTTCAAGAACGTTGGCCGCGTAATTAAAACGTGTATGAAGCTTCACAACTTCTGCATCAATCGAAGAATAAAAGCTGAGAACACAACAACTAGTCTTCACGCTGTTTCAGCAGCGTACCATAATCTCCCTGAAAGCTCATACCAGCCAACAGACAACTACGAATCGGATGATTTGCGCAGCGATGCCCAAGGTCGCATACTTCGTCAAGTGATCGTGAGCCACATCCAGAATTTTAACCTCAGACGCCCCCGCGTGCGCTAACCACAAATCGCTTCAAAGAAACCCGTTCAGCACTTCGTACTCAAGCTCGTCAATCTTCTGCTCCAGCACCAGCCTCTTTTGTTCTCGGCCTGCCAGTTCAAGGCCAACTGCCGACGCATCAATGCCCTTGCTGATATACTCGCGTCGAAGCTCTTTCAAGCGCTCTATCGCCGTCATACTTCGGTCCAGCATCGCAGTTAGTGTCGAGAGCTTGTGAGTAGCTTGCTGTTGTTGAATAAATAATTTCTGCTCCAACCACGTATCTTCTTGTGCTTTGCTGATCTCGTTCTCTAGAAGTTCGTGTACTGATTTCAGTAGGTCGGCAACGACGTTTGCATTTGAGGATTTGCGTCGCTTCCGGTTTTGTGCTGTATTCTTTTGTTGGTCACCTTCTTTTGTCGAGTCGTCTTCATTGTCTGCATAAACGTTGGGCTGCGCAAAATTCTCTTCCTGCTTTGGCGGTGCTCACACCACCGATCCACGTAATAGACATCTGTCCGTCCATTGCAATAATCCCAGAAGTCTTGACCATTTTGACCCGATACTTTGGATCCTGCTTCCGCTCGTGCAAAGTTGCTGCTTGCTTCTTTCCACATTCGCTGGAGTTTTGCAGCTGAATGTGCCATCACAACCGAAGGATCGATGCCTTCAAAAACCTCATCGTCGGAGATTAGCGTGTCAAACTCGTTGTTGTCAGATCCAAATTCCGTTGCTACGTCAGTCCAGAATGTAGATCCACCTTGATCCAGCTCTTCACGGCGCAGCTGATGTCCAGTCTCCAAGAATGTATCAAAGAAGCGATCGGAAAACAGCACATTTAGCAGGCGGAACATGCAGTTCTTCGTCCGTTTCACCTCTTCTTCGCGTGAGCTAGTCGCTCTCTTACGCTGTTGGCGGACCAGAAGCTCAACACCGTCTTTGATTGTATCCCAGGCAGAGAGGAGCTTCACGCGGTCTTGCTTACATGTATTCTTGACTACGTTCAACTTACGCGCGGTGCATTCAAGCTTGAGCTGGTCTGACGTCCAGTCAGCATAGTCCTCAGATGTCGGCGGCTGGATAGTACGCTTGCGAGCGCTCTGCGGTGCGGTAACAGACCACTTCGAGCTTGTTAGAGCTGTCGCCATGTTGCTTTTGCCAAATGCAACTTCGTGTAGATGTACCCGAGAATTGGTACACGAGTTGTCGGTGGAGCGCCATCCGGCTCGGAACGACCAGATCGCGATTTCACCTATTTCCCCCTATTCACTCCGGATCGCGATCCGTGCGATCCTGGTTCGGAACGGCCCTTAAGCACATGTAAGTACAGTGTAAGGTAAAGTGCAAATATTGTGCATTCCGACCAAATTTGCCGTTTTCGCCCTATTCAGTGTTTTCTCAGATCGTACTTAAGCGCTTGTATTTCGTACTTGAGTGGATTATCTCTCCAGGCAAGTCAATAACAGATTTAAAGAAGTGCGCACGAAAATTTTGAGTAGAACAATACTGCGTCATGACTGTTTCTGCTGTGACCAAGAATATAAGGCGACATGTCACGGAGACCGCGAAGTAACAAATACCAGCTGCACACAAGTACTGTGGGTTCTAGTCGAAGTTTCCAAGATGGGTAAGCACTTGAGCTCACTAATCACATTAGGGACGATATCGGACTTAAAAGGAGCAGCAAGGTACCATCCGTAGCTGTGTCTGTTGATTTTCAAATAAGGGAAACGACCAATTTGAGGCCGGTTGATCAGTTTGGGGCCGGTGTGATTTCGACCAATGCGTAGTTGCAGTTTTGTGTCTCTGTCTCTAATTCGTAGAAATCAGCTAAAGTACGAAACCCATACAATTTGATGAGCCCAAACTTGGCGGGAACATGGTTGGTTACCGCGGAAAGGCAATTTTGAACAGAGCTCACTTCCAAAACGCGCGCGATGGTCAAAATCTACACTGCAACAGAAAAGCAAGCTATAATCGCTGAAGTACAAGCAGGCGAGACGATTGTTGTGGTCTCTGAGTCTTCAGAGCACATGAGCGAGTAATCACGAAGTGGATAAAGACATTCAAGGAGGGGGGATCCCTGGTCGCTGCTCGAAAGGTACCAAAGCGTTCTTTCCTCAAGAAGCGGAGCAGCATCTCTACGATTGGATTGTTGGACGGCAGCTTGTTGGCCGTCCGGTTGGCCGCTCTGACATTATATTCAAGGCACAAGAGATAGCGTTGCTGGGTTGTGGCCAAGATGTTGGGGAGGCTTGGTACAAGCGCTTCAAGGCTCGCTTTCATGCGCTTACAGGACGAACAGCCCAATCGCTTTCTTTAAAGCGGAACTGCGTTATCCCTACAGATCTCATCAACACGCTAGCTAAACTAATGATAGAGCTGAAATTGGACAGCTCTCAAGTGTTCAATATGGGTGAAACCGCGTTTCAAAAGCAGCTCAAGAGCAAAAACGTGGTTGCGGTGCGTGGCTCAAGTAATGTGTAGAATACTGAGCCTACTGCTAACTTCCATCTTACTATCGTTGCATGTGAAATGCTGGTGGGTTTGTGGTGCCACCAGCTTTTATTCTGCCTGAAAAAACGGTTTCCTCCCGGCTGCTGGAAAACAGCGGCCTCCCTGGGTCGGCTGTCTCGACGTCTCCTTCGGGATTTATGAGCACCGGGCTCTTTGAAGAATGGCTGAAGTTTTTCGCACACTCAGTGCCTAGCTCTACGCCACGCCCGCTGTTGCTAATTCTGGACGGGTGTGGGTCCCACCACTCAGCTTCGGTGGTCGACACTGCTGCAGATTTGAATGTGATGCTGGTTTTTCTCCCTCCAAATGCAACCCACCTTCTCCAGCCCCTCGATGTAGCTGTACTCGCAACACTTAAGAGCAAGATTCGCAAACTCATCAGTGAGCTGGTAGAAGAAGACGACAATGGCTACTTCAATATCAGCAAAGATGATGCTATCCAGGTGTCTTGCCTCGCGTGGAAAGGAGCGAAGGTGGGTCGCAACGTCTCGAGGGGTTTTAAGGCCTGCGGACTGTATCCACTTTCGCTAGTCAAGATGGGCGCACGCCTGGAAAACTTTTCCCGTAATGGCGCTCCGCGGCACGTGCAGCTTGCCACATGGCTACAAATGCGAGCTGTCGTTGAGGGTGAAATTCTAAAACTACCGGCTGCACCGCGCAAGAACGACGACAAGAAGCGGAAGCGGGCCTCTGTTGGTGGGCGCCTTCTCACTCACGAGGTGCTGCAGCAAGTTCAAGCTTCCAGGGCCGTTCATTTTACGAAGAAGCGCCGACAGCCAAATCCAGCCCCATCGACGACTGACTGTGCTACTGAGATCATCGAGTTCGTACTAGTGTAGGCGTGTGGGCTGCATAGCAAATAAAGTGGATGGTTAACTGACGTGTTTGCAACCGAAGAATTACATCACCTACCAAAACGAGAGCGACATTAACTGCCCCGCTACCGTCGATTCTCGTGCGCTTTCTTGCGCTTTTGAATTAGACAGCATGGCCCCCGCCCTTTCGGGTACTAGCACATCACAGGAGGGGGCCTTGGAGCAGCGGAATACAGGGGGCTCGAGCCACATCCCTTGGGCAGGTGTGTGACGCGCGTGGGGAGGCGAAGGCGTCTTCGCGGGCCCAGGGAGGCCGGAGATCCGTGCCGTGTCGTGTGCGCCGTGGAGAGCTTTCCCGTTTGTGGCGTTTTTATAAAAGTGGCTACAGCCTTGAGAATAAATAACCTATCCAATATGCTTCGCAAGCCCAAATATGTCATATAATGATTATCCTAGCCCTTTCGATGGCGAGCTACAAAGCATACATAATGCAAGTCAAAATTCCGGCCTCTAACTAATCTAGGTCGCATTTCGAGCCGTCAGTTTGAATCGCGGCCTCGAATACGACAATACTCAATCGGGTTGAGGTTTCAGCCTTCCTAGAAAGCGCAAAACGCGGGCTTCCAGGATCTGTCATATTTTGTGCTCTTCTTCACCAGTGTTCTCACAGCTCCGCCCTAAAGACTTTTCGTGCAAACCGGCCCCAAATTGGTCGTTTCCCTTAGATTAAATTTTGTATCGATAGATTCAACCCAGGCCGGTGAATATGGCAAATTTGACCGGAATTCACAATATGGGACGAGTAGTAGTAATAGAAGTAGGAATATATATAGTAGTATAGTAAGTACTACTGCTGCAGCGGGGCTGCCGTAGCTTTAGCGTCAGAGGAAGACGTTCGACTCAAAGAGTCACTAATACTAAGTTCCTTATCCAAAGGACACTTACAGCCCAAGACCAGGGCTCAAAGTTAATACCTTAACTTTTATGCTTCAAAACCAGAAGTGTTTTATTTACTATTCTTGCGGCCAAGCCGCCTAGGGGTAAATGTATCTGTTTAACTATCTAGCATAGTTAAACCTAATCAAATGCATAACGTGTGGCTTTCGGCCAACGTACTGAGAGACCTTGTTAACTCTCCAACTTATGTACTGAGAGTTTGTTAACTCTCCGGGTACTTCGTACCCCTGTGTCTTCCACACTATGTAACCCCGTTACACTCTCCCCCACTAAGATGAGAACATTCCGTTCTCGAAACTTTCCTCAGCGAGGTCACGTCTTGTTAAGACGGCGGAGGTTACTACACCTCACCCCAGCGTTGTACAGCTCCGTGAGCTCACAAACGCCTACGCATCGTTGATGCTCAACTTCTCGTCGTCGGCCCACGGCCCAATGTTTCAAGCGCAGCGCGCATCTTGCTCTCAAGCGGTCTCAGACCTACGCTCGCGCTCCGCGCCTACTCCAAGAGCATCTTCGTCTCTTTCTGTGGCAGAGTACCACCAAGAGTATCGCCTTCGACACGGTCAACGCTCCATGAGCCGTCAACAAGAAGAGAGCAAAGCTCAAAGCTCGTCAGAGCCGCGGGCGCCGCCCAGAGGGAACGATGTTCTGTTCTCGGAACTTGAAGAGGGCGAAGTCGACTACGACGAGCCCATGGGTAGTGAGGATTACTCCAACCCAACCTCTCCGAGGTCGCAAACTGGTGCCGCGTCTTCTCCAGCTTCCTCTGTGAGGTCTAGCCGCTCGTCGGCGCGATCTCAAACAAGAAGAGACCTGCGGACACCGCATCCGTTCTCTGAACGTTCGAATTTGATTCGCTATCGTCGCGGTGTGACGAGGAAGATCGATACGATCCCAACGTCATTACGAATGACCTGGACGAGGCCCAAAGCCGTCAGTTTTCAAAGAGCAGCGCTCGCAGTCGTTCCGACCTGTGGTCCGACCACCTGTTCTAACGTTACGCCGTGACTACGGCTTTCAGCCGCGGAACCCTGCCGAAGCGGCCCGCCTCGCGGAGCAGCAGCCGCTAAACACGTACACGTGTGGACCTGCGGCCTCGACAGCTGATGAGCAAGTGCAGCGGCACCGGCTCCGAGAGCGATATCTGACTCCACATGTCACAACTCCTCAGGAGTATCAGGCGCGCCTGCATATGCAGCTCAACCGCCAACCGGTTCCCTCTATGCGAACCATTCCGGTTGTTCTCAACCCTGGGGAATCCCAGCGTGCTTATGAAGCACAATTCCGAAGCTGGGTGGAGGGAGCTCGACGGCTCCCCTCCTACAATGCTCTTCGAGCAAGTTTCTCTGAAACTGATATTCGTCTTGAGAGACGTTTGCGCTTTAGACTTCGCTAAGTCGATAGCACGTCGACAAACACAGGGACCCCGTCCCCATCACCTCGAGGCGTCACCACCTCTCGCTCATGCTGCGAGCGCCGCTCATTCCTATGAGCCGGCTGCTACAGCCACTGGTCGGAGCTTGAGCTCAGCCACCGACCTGTCATCCCCGCGTTCTAGCGGCGGG